TAAAACCCAAAAATAGTGTTGTTAAAACGTTTAATCGGCATGACTAGTACGCACCAAATGGTGATTTTCTAGCAGATGATCCATTATATGGTTTGTTCCGGGAAAAGACGGAAATTTTTTTTAAAAAATTTTTATAGGGTTCAGCCTTAAGATACTATGCATTTATGATGGGTAACCGCTCATTGATCAATTATTTCATTGATCAATTTATTTCATTAAAATAGTTTAAAGCCCCTTTTATTTAATACTGTATCTAATGCTAATTATATAATTTGACAAATTTAAATACTGCGCTTCATTAAAGCAAGTGTAAGTTTAGCCGCATTATAATTATTTTAATTTGATACAAACGCACAACATATATGGGCTTTTATCTTGAAAATGATCCTACATAATAATTGTTATATGTCCTGTAAGATCATTTTAAAGTCAAAAACCCACATATATTTTGATTATAAGATTGGTCGATTTCACCAACTTCAATAGCATTATAATTTTAAATAATTTTATGATAAAGAGAACATTTGATTTTTTATTTCAACATAACAGGAATATAAAAATGATTATATATATATTATATATATAATATACAAATTCTTTTTATTATGTAAAAACTTTTAACAAGTACCAATCCAAGTTTATCATTTACAATTCTCAACCTAAAATAATGCAGTAATGCCAATACTACATATTTGACGAGAAAAACTACCATGAATTCCAATAGATGGTAGATGACTATATACAAGAAATGGCTTCCCTTTGTCACTACCACTCCATTCAGAAACACGACCTCGATCAGTATGAAATTGGATTGCATACAATACAGCTTCAATTCGCACAAGGATATGTTTAATTTTTTCACCTTTATGCCAATCAAAATCATAAGGATCATCATCACCTGGTGCACCGTATATGTCATATGTATCATCAGAATAAAAGAATCCAATGGCATTGATCATATCCGATGACCAAATTCTTATTCTTTTCAAATACGCATTATTAGGCTTATCAATCATTGCTGTAAATTCAGTACATTCTATGTTTCGAGGATTATTTATATCAAAATAAGAAGAATCTATTGGCTTAAATTCTAATTGTTCCTCTGCAGAAGAGAATTTTGCGTGATGCTTTTTAAGAGTAACGACCGCATTTTCTAAATATTTTATATCTTCATTAGTTGGTATTTTTCGAACTGCCTGAACATTACTTGAAATATCTCCTAACTCACGACGATACTTATGTAAAAATTCATTAAAGTTGATAAGATTCCGATCCATATTTTGCAATACTTTTATAATAAATCGCACTTCTTTAAGTTCTGACTCTACTCGCTTTCGTAGTATAGGATCAATGATGATCCCTGTCCAGTGTTTTTTCAAGGCCTCTTCAGCTTCACGCTCACCACCAATAAGATACTTGCGCGCATAGTTTGCGCTTTCTTGAACTAGGGAAAAAGATTCAATAACTTTAGCAAGTTGTTTCTGAAGTCCGGATATCTGTTCTTCTATCGCTTTAAGATGCTCACGAATAGAATTTGCTAATTTATTTAAAGATGGTTCTCTTAGTCGATTTAATAAGGAACCGTGTAGTTCAGGGAGTAATACACCTTGTATGTTATTGAAAAATTCTATTTATTTTACTTATTTGTTAACTTTGAAAC